GGGTACGTGCCCTCTTTTCATGGGGGCACGGTGGCTGGGCTTATTTTTGCTGGCAGTCACGCGGGGTGCGTCCATCGTGGGGTGTAGTGGGGTGGTGGTGGGTGGCACTTGCAGGGACCACCGCGCAGGATCCCTTTGTCTTCCGCAATGTTGAATGGGTTCCAAAGTGGATGACTGCAGATCAGGCGACCAAAGTGGTCTGCGATGTGGGTGCATAGGCGCTGGTGGACGCTCAGGCCTTGCTGCACGATAGTCGAGGCAGACGTGTCGCTATCGCCTGTCCATGTATGCCGAAGGAAATGGACGGGCGCTGCTCATGCCAAGATCGTCCAATGTGGAAAGGGCATAAACGTCCACCTCGTGTGCCGTCGCTTGCACATCGCCGACTCCACTCATAATCGTCCTCCACGAATACTCGCCTACCATCGTTGATCTTCGCGTTGCGCAACATTGTGAACGTGTCATTCGTCGTCCGTGTGCACGCTCGCCTGCCAGTGCTGCCACTAGCAAACCACAAACTGCGGCGCTGTGCAACCTCGACACGAGTGACATCCCATCGCCCCCAATCGTGTCTCCCACCATCTGCGCCTGGTGATCCGCGCAAGGACCTATCGCTAGTTTGTCGTCCACATCGTCGCGTTGCCGCGGATCAGCACGGCGTTTTCTCCCCTGTTGGGTTGCGCGAACAGGGTGTTTTAAGCACATGTCGTTGCCCTGGACACATCACCTACGCAGGCCATCCGATTGCGCACTTCACGTCATTGTTGCTCTCCGTCATTGTGCTCGTCGTCTTCACCATGTCTTCACGCGGCGGTAATCGGGGCAAGAAGAGAGAGCTTGGAAGCGGAAGCGCTTGTGGCCGTGAAGAAAGGACGTCATCAACCGAAGAACTAGAAGGCTGTTGCAGAGGGCCATTTGAGGGGAAGTGCCGCGAGGGATGACGAGTGGGTGAGGGATTTCGAGGGCGCAGCCGACGACGATGACCTCGTGTCCGAAATGGAGGTGGAAGCCGTCAGGCAAGCGTCTGTGCGTGCACAAGGGGCGGTTCGAATAAACGAGCCGCGACCGCAATCTGCTCCCCAACCCCTCGGTGGGGAGGGGGTTCGCAAGGCTGACGTCGTCATCAATGTGGACGTTGGTCACGCGGTGAGGGAGGTCCAACTGGATGCTGCTCCGCAGACGGCGCGCACAGGGGGGGGGGGGTTGCGAGGACACGTGTGACTGTGTCGCATGACGTGGAAGATTTCGCGCGGGTGCAATCACCACCAGGCACACCACGTGGCCAAGCAGTTCCGGAGAAGGGAGGGGCCGCGAAGGTGGCGGTGCAAGGAAGTGGCCAAGATGCACATCGACAAGACCCTATCGCCTCGCAGGGCGGTGCCGTGGCGGGATCATCTAGACCGACGGCGGTCGCAGCAGCCGTGGAGAGCCGTGGGGAAGGCGACGACGACGAGCCTTTGATGAATAGGCAACGGCGGGGGAATGCACGGGATGGGATTGAAGCTGCAACGAAGTTGTGGGTGGATGACATGAGGTTCTGGAACGAGATGGAGGGCAATGGACTGTTCAAGGTCATCCAAGAAGCGCGACTTCATTTGCTGGCCATCGCCAGGGAGTCGCCACCCCCGTGATCCATCGAAGTATAGCCCTCCCTCACTCAAGTATCCCGCAGCACAAGATCGAAGACGAATCACAGCTGAAGGCGGCGAAAGACAGGGCGACGAAAGTGCAGAGCATCGCCTTGCGCGTCATCCACGGATGGATCTTCAAGTCCTCGAGTCGCTTACGGGGCCACCACTCCGCATACGGGTACGACCTCAACCACGCTGCGACGGACATGGCACGTGTCATGTGGCTTGGAGAGGACTGGTGCACGTGTGTGAGCCCCGCTATCTGCCACATCACACTGGAGATGGACATGAAGCTCCCCGTTTGGTTCATCGGCGCGCACATCGAGGACAGACACGAGGAGGACGAGTTGGCATGCTACCAAGGGGCGACCATGCAGCGCCTGGTGAGCGCCTTCACTACCGCCGTCAGTCTGGTGGGATCACGTTCGACCATGACGTCATTCTTCCGTCGCCGATGGCCGCAAAAAAGCTGGAATGGTTGGGCACTGGCCCCCTGGAGGATGACGACAAAAAAGTGCGTGACGACAAGGATGGGGCGAGGTAGAGAAGCACAGTCGGCGTCGCGTACAGGACGGGTCACGTCGCGTCGTCGGGTGTGTGGGTGGCCCTGTTTCATGAATTGGAAATGAAAATGCCCAAGCCAAGACTGATAACCTTTTTTGCTGGGAGATTCCTGTAAATCAACATAAACATTGATAATACATATAAAAAGAAAATTACGAATGTAAATGAAGCCAACTGTTTCATCTTGCTTTCATTGAATCGGAAATGATGATTGTTTTTTCCCCCCTCTGTCCAGGTGACAATGTTACACCTTCCCCCTTCCATCTCTCTCTCTTTCCTCTTAAATTATTTCTCCCCTCTTTTCTTCTCTTGTCTTTCCTCGGATCCCCTCTTTTCTTCTCTTGTCTTTCCCTAATAATCATTTCTTCCTCGGATCCTTCCTCCTCGCTTTTCCCATTCCGGTTCTTCCAAATTATTTTATTTGAAATTATTTGAATTTTTTTCATTATTTCTTCATTAGCTCCGAATGCTCAACTGTCCCTACACACTGCATTGTACCCCCCCCCCACTCACTCCCTGTTCAGCCCTGTTGGCCTTCGAGTCATCCTACCTCATCTGTGACGCACTAATCTTTGCTTAAAAGAGGGGGGAGAACCGATCCTCTGATTAGTCAAAACCAAGATGAATATGTCAACTCTGCCAGCATTGACATCTAACAGAGTAAGAGGGAATAACTCCTTATTCTATCAGGGAGCAATGCATCACTCAGTCATGAGGCAATTGGGGTCATCCCCATATAGCAGGCACCTCATCAGCCAACCCGCGTGCTCAAGAGAGAATAACCCCAAAATCAATCAAGGAGGGGGGAGCAAGTCCCCTCTCGATCCAATCTGACCAAATGGTATCTGCAAAGGACAACCCTATGGACATTTTGGCAGAGGAATATGGATCAAAGGGAGCTACACAGGAAAGGGAGGGTTCACAAAGCCAATCCACACAGATTCCCGGAACCAAGGCATCTCAAAGTAAGACCCCCCCTCATGGTGGTCATCGAAAGGCAGTACAAGGAGTGCACAGGGCACACGGCGTGACACATGGGATGCAAGAGATGCAAGGGGTACAAGGGGCAAGCTCGTCTAATTTGAACGGAACAGGACATCAAGAGGTTACCCAAGGGGGAGGACGTAGAACGTTGGCACCGATACCTGAAAGTTACGTCCCAAAAAGTCCCCAAAACAGCTACGTCATGGGATCGGAATGGAGGATTGTGAAATCTGAAAATCGGTCCTCGTCACAGACTTCACAGTCACCTGATCCCTCCTCACAATCAGGACAGACAGGCCAGGTCTTGCAGATGATGCCGTCGTCACAATTATTGTCCTCACAGTCACCGGTGTCACCGCAGTCACAACAGTCTCAACGGGCTGCACACACACAGACCACACAGCCCATGCAAATTCACACAGACACCAGAGTCTGCACAACAAGACCAGGCATTGCAGACATCACAGCCACCACAGTCACAACAGTCACTGTAGTTCAAGCAGTCTGAACAGACACATCAAGAACAGTCAAGGTCACTGATGACAGTAGTAACAGCAGCTCATCCAACGATGTCACTAGTGTCATTAGTGACTGCGAAAACAACACCAGTATCACAGTCACACCTCGCTGCTAACCAGAATCGGCCTGGATATAACACAACGGAGATCCAAGAAGAGCATCTGGTACCTGCGGAAATAAGCCCAATGGAACTAGATCCGCTCAAAGAAGTTTTCTCAACCGACCACATGGACTACGAAGTGGCCTCGGTCAAGGCAATTCCTCTTACAATAATGGGGGAATTAGCTCGGAAGCAAGATTCGCTGGTCAAACTGCAACAAGGGGTGCAAAATGTATCGGATTGGGTAATAAGCCGAGTGGGGATCCGGGCCGCCTGGGTGACCAGCAGAGGTCCCGGGCGGCCTGGCCGGGCAGGGCATCCGGTTGGGGGCCGGGCCCCCCCAGCGCACTTACCTGTCGGGGGATTTCAGACCCCCTTCGTGTGTGTGTGTGTGTGTGTGTGTGTGTGTGTGTGTGTGTGAGAGAGAGAGAGAGAGAGAGAGAGAGAGAGAGAGAGAGAGAGAGAGAGAGA